TCACTGGTACTCTTTGTCACGTGACGATGCAACAAACGCAACAGTTATCTTTCGCGTGTGGAATCACAATCGCTACCCACACGGCTACAATAATGACATCCTAACATCGGATAAATGAACGATAGGGAAGTTTTCACCGATTGAATGCATAAAAAGCACGGAAGAAAGAGATAAAATATAACTGACTGAAAGACACGTTGGCTTTTACTCTTCCAGGTTGGCGCAACTTTCCCTTTATTCGTGTCAGGATGATGATACAAAGACAACAAACGTCTCTTTTTCATCACAGTCGATGAAACGGACACAAAATAACCGTGCAGAGGTTTTGATAATTCCACCGAGATGATCAAAGAGCCATATTTGATGTTTGGAACAAATGAAACATGAACGACAAAGTGTAGCTTGACAATTCTTGTAAATTTACCGAGTATCGTCATCATGATCGGTAGTGTGAGTCCATTTACCCGGTTAATAATCGCGATTACCCATGGTGAAGCGGGTTTACTGGAACCACTTTGTCTATTCATGACGGAACATAATTATTCTTTCCAAATGTATTTAGAGAGACCAAATTCGTTCATCCTAAATTAGGCTTCCAGGGATTAAGATTCAGATGGGAAACACTAACTGCTTAACCTCTGGTTGTTTATTTCCGGATGGTGTCTGTGAGATGGAGTCACTGAATTCAACCGGGACAAACGTAATATGGGAATTAAGGAAAAATGCATTCAGCCGAGCACGTATAGTGGGAATTGTGTTATATTTGGAGTGAGTATATATATTCCGGTGAACGTGGAGTAAAACCAGTGCAATAAATCGGTTTCATTCAGTGCGTGAGTTTAAAATCAGTCAGAGTGTGCAACTTGAAAAATCCACGTCATATATCATACTAGTTTCAGCAGGAGATCTAAAATCACGACGTCCAATCGCGACAGGGACAAAACCAAATACACTTTGTTCTTTTTCTCTCTCCCAATTCACATCAGATTTATAGCTCATTTATATATGATTACTAAACTGCTCAGCTTGCATCACCTTGAACAGGAGATCCGCTGTGTGGATCGTGTTTAGCGACGAGCGGATAGAGTGTGCTTGTGCGTGTGAGTTACCTCAATCTATCTTTTCAATGTTAAACCAGGGTCCGTTCCAGTGATTTCGCACGATAGTTCATATTCGGTAAAAAGGAGTACAATTTTCATCATTTCTACCCTAAACGTTTACTACACAATTTATTCCTAACACCTCTCAGCCTGATTCGCCCACACGCGATCCGCCACTCACCCAACAGCAGACCAACATTTTATACCATTCCTTTCCTCCAGAAAGAAACTTCAAATCCTCTTATCACTAGAACCACACAAGCCATCAAAGCTGCATGGCCCTACCCTCCCGACCCATGCATCCTTCGTAAAACCTGCACCTAGATTTGGCTCCCCTTTTCTGTCGCTTATTAGCTCACTATGTCCAATCCCGGGATGTTTTCAACTCTTTGGAAAACAACTCAGATATTTTCCAACAGTGATCGACAAGACCCTGGCTTATTTCCCCTGACATTGGTTCTTCTAGAGGTCAAAGACTTAGTCACTGTTGATCAATCCAGCCGTCACCTCGAACGGATAAGGCTACCTAACCGTGATCAGTAAAGTTTTTGGCCTTGTTGATCCACTGACGCTCACTTCGCAAAGCTGCTCGACAGCTACGGAGAACCCCATATGGTATAGCCGGACGCACGGAGGATGTTCGATCGTGTTTGGCATGCTGATCTACCGGCAAAACTGCTAGTTTGATGGTCCTGAGCAGCAAGTTATCTCAAAAACCGTAACATTTCCGTAGGAGTAGGTGGTTTCATGTCTTGATTTGTATTGTGAATGCTCATTTCTAACAACGCTCTGCACTCTCCTCACAGTTTTTCTCCTTTACATAGACGAATTTCTTTTCTTAACTATAAACTCCTTGAACACTTTGCACAGTTCTTTATCTCTTTCCTCTTCTTGTTCCTCTGACTTCAGCATCGGCTCCTTTCTATAGATCCCTGAATTATTGTCTTGGTTATATCTCTGACTGAGTCTACCTCAGTCGTGTTTTTTAATGCCAGTACCATGTCAGTACTCATAAGTTGGTTTCTGTAAGCGTGAATCTTTCTTTCTCATATTATAATTTCACTTCAATTTCTCATTTCCACAAATTCATACAACCTATTCAGGTTAGTTTTATCTTCGTTTCTTTCATGATCAAGCCATATTTCTTTATTTACCTCTTGTGGTGTGCATAAGATTAATGATTCCTTCCACTATACACATTTTATCAGTTCCCTTCTCTCATTTTATGAAGTTTGGATGCAACCTCCTCTTATATATTGCCCTGCTGTTTGAAGCAGAACTCCGCCTACCTCCCTATTTCGGCATCAACCACTCGTCCCTATCATTTAAGTTGCAGTCACTGGCTCATAGTCGAGCAATTGCCTTCTTACCCGTATTTTACCGGTTCTATTTTGGTTTGTGCTCAACCGAACTGGCCTCATCCGTCCCTCGAGCACTTGTTTTTCCGCGTAGATCCTTACACAATTCGTTAGCCACCCAATCCAATTGACCTTTTCTCAGGTACCGCATTTCCAACTTCCAGTTGTCTTTTTCCAGGAACAGCACTAATGTGAAGCATTCTCTCCCTAGCTGTCTTCCTCCATTTTATAAAATCCTTCCCTTTAAAAGCAGGATCAAAAATCTGGTTCTGGCTTGGATACTGCCCTCAGTCTCTTATGTGCGATATATCCTTTCAATATGGGGAATTAAACCTTTTTATGCGCACAACGAAAACAACTGACAAGTTAAATTTCTATAAATGCCTGCACGAATTTTATATGGCAGTCCTATTCATTGATCTATTGTCATCAATATGAACATTTCGTTTCCTATGAGCCAGGCTTTAGAAACAAGTATGGCTAAATTCGATCTCCACATCAAACTGTGGGAGATATTCAATTTGATCTTTGTGCATACTGCTAGCCGGCGAGGCACAGCAGTTCGTTCTCACTCTTGACTCAGAAGTTCTTCTAATTGTCACTTGTCCTTTGGTCGTCATACTGTCCTCTCGGATGCCCCCTTTCACCGTGTCACATACAACTCGTTTAACGGAATGTGTTAAACTTATTCGTGCCCCTTCCACCCCACCCCTGAACGCCCGCAACACCATCATCGTCATCCATGTTCTGCAGTTAAAAACACATCAACGTGTTACATCCTCTGTAATTAAGCGGAACACAGCAGTGGTGAAAACTCTATAGTCTTGGTTACACTAATGTTATGTTGCGATACGAACGAGTTGAGTGGTTTAATTACAACTTACACTGGAAATCGACCAATTCACAAGCTACCTCAGTGCGACACCTATTCGAAACAGCAATTCCGGGAAAATCGAGATCGAGCAAGAGTGAGCGAGAATGTGTGTGGGTGGGGAGAGCCAAACACTCGATACCGACTACTTGTGTGTGCGGAACAATATAGTAACCACGGCGCCTTATTTAGACTTATCGCACAAAATCATCTCTTATATTCTCACAGGAAAAAGAAAAGAGTGTAAGGTGTATCTTGACAATTATCGTGATTGATAAGAGCGACAGAGATGACTTGTTGACCAGGCATCGCTCGATCACTGTCGGCATCAAATTCGTTTGATCCGTAAACCAAAATGAGACACGTGAGCTGGAGGAGGACACTTTTTTTCAACACTATTGATGTAATACAACCACCAAAAGTTCAGTGATGTTTCGGATAAATGCATACAAAATTGGGTGGATAACTTATGTGGAAAATTTCTTTTAAACACAATGCCATGTTGTCATAGCTGTCGCTTTGGTTTCTAAAAAACCGCAACAAGATCATGTGCTTGACTGACAGACAGGTAGATGGACAGACAGACAAACAAACAATATGGTATTTCTACCGATTTCTCGCGTGAATTTATCACCTAATGGTGTCATCCAAACTTGTTTAGTGCTATGAGACAGCGCCACCTACTTCTCTCTCTCTCTCTCTCGCAAACTCTGCGTGTCTGTCAGGACCGATTCACTGAGAAGAATTAATGTCGTATACAGTTACAAATAAGTCATATATAGAAATTTTGAGGTGGGAATTTTTGAAATACTATTGAAAATATCGAGCGTAATCATTCACCGTTCAAACGGAATAGATCAACCCACAGATCAAATGTGTGTATATGCAACCGGTGTCCTACTGCTTTGGCGCGGCTTGTCACAATTTGTGACATCTGTGGCTTGTCGAGGGAACTACTCGAAACGTGCGTAGCAGAACTGCCACAACGAAAACGATGCTTAGGGAATCAACCGGCACCCATGGTCATGTCAGAAAGAACAATGCGTTTTTCGAGGGTTTCACTACCTCGACCTCGTCGTCCAGAGATGCATTGCGTAGATCAGAACGAGGAATCCCTAGAATTGTCAAAACAAGTATTTCACCTGACGAACGTCTTGCAGAATAGATGTGTCTCCGGTTTGCATTATGTGCTGATACTCTGTCGTGGATTGCTATTTATCTCATGATCAATGCCTCCGTTCGCTGAAACTCAGTTACAATTAACATCAGCCGGAGGCTGTTTCATAACTGATCAGTTCAAACCACAGTTGTTATCCCATCATAAAATTTTACCCTTAAAGACATTGGAGTCGATTTCAAGTACCACAGTGAATGGCAACAATTTATAACAAATAAACAAGTACATGAACTTTCTGGTTTCAATGTGACTTGAATGTGAAACTCAAATGGTCAAAACATTCCAAATTCATGTTGTCATTCATTCATTCCTGTTGTTCAAGATGATAGTCATAGACCATTTTGCATGAAAACAAGGGTTTCTACGTTTCACTACTGTATGTTCATGTGTTCACAATTGGAGGTGGCCTATTCAAACTTTGTATGTGCATTTATAATTTATCATACAATTTGAATGTACTAAAAGTGCACACACACCAAACACAACCAACGAACTTACCGTCCACTTTTTGTAATGACCATTTCGGTTCCTTGGGCGTGAAATTTATCCCACAAATACTTGTCGACCAGCTCGACTTTTGGGCGATTGTCTGCGTCCATTGGATCTGGCGATTCTGGTTGCATGGGAACTGTTGGCATGTATGAGGCAGAGGCCTGTTTGAAATCGGACAAATGAGTGAGTTCATCCATCGGTTGACTGATGATGGAAACTAAAGACGACGTGGAAGAGGAGGATATAGTCGATGATGTCGGTGCCCCAGGTACACAACAGGAGTCCGTGTGTGGTGTATTACGATGCGCTGATAATGTACATGTGGGACTGTTGATGGCTGATGCGGCAGCAGCCACAGCAGCAGCCATCAGAGCGGAGAATTCAGGGATGTGGTTACCTCCGGTGGTCGTGGGTACGGTCCCATTGTTCCCGGGTAGGGACGGTATTGGGAGTGCAGAACTTGAAAGACCAGGATGCGGAGGAAATCGCAACCCCGTCGCTGCTAGTGCAGCTGCCATTGCGGCCATCGCCACATTCGGGGAAGCTGCAAACGGCTTTGTATCTCTGGATTGGGATACGGGACTTGGTGTTCGCGTGTGAGGTCTGAAGGCAGACTTGGAGGAGTCCAATAGCTTATCACCAAATTGAGACTGTCCATGTGAACCGGGATCTAGGGTTTCGGAAACAGAGGATGGAACAGAAATGGTTGATCGAAATCGTGATGTTGATTGTCCATTGGGGGATGTGAGTTTTACAGACCCGTCGGAATGGCGATTGTCTTGACTCGCCGATAACTCCGTAAGTGTGCGAAGAGTTCGGGACACATGCATATCTGATGGCGATGTATTAGACTGGCCATATGGAGCGGTCCCATTTGTGCATAAACTTGAAGCTGAGAACATAGGCGATGTTTTGTCCCAACATGCACCGGGCATTGAGTTCAAATTAGACGACGATGATGATGTGACAAACGGCGGTACTGGTGCTGGTACAGAAGGTGTGTATCCTCGCCCGTTTGCTTTTGGATACAAAAGTCCAGGTGAACTGAGCCGAGAAACCAAGGCAGACGAATTGCTATCCGAATGAGCACAAGATAGATACGGGGGAAATGATAGACCTGTGGACGTCGTGGCAGTCGATGGTGAGCTAAAAGATCCCAACTGCGGTGCAATGTTCAAAGAGTCCAAATGCGATTTACCAGACAGGAGTAACGGGTGCGGTCGGTTCAGCATAGATGCGGTGGCATGAGGTGACACGGGGAGATTAAAAGCCATTACTGGATCAGTCAGTATTGGGACAGATTGGATGAACAGTGATTGGAAGTGATTCACTTATGTGGAAACAGTCTTCATAGCATAGCTTCGATAACCATTGCAATTGGAGAAGCCAACGAGTGTCGACAGAAAGTCAAAGGTTTTTGATACACCGTGTGGCCATGAGCAATTTATTTAGCACTGCAACACCGCGGTCAGATAAAGTTGACGAGGTATACGCACGCACAAAAACGGCCACACCGGACTCTGTATACACACACACACACCGCCTCACACACATAGACCGATGCACCCAACGAATCGTGACAAGATTCGGGGAATGAAGCGAAAATTGGGACGCCTCAGTTGATGATAGGTGGCGAAGTCAGCACCTTGGGTGTAAGTTAAACGAACGCACCTGGTCCCGTGCGGTGCTTACTCGTGAATGGTCATTTGCGCAGGTGTGTGTGTGCGTGAGTGCATTCGCACACTGCATCCGTGTATCCGAACCACCACACGAAGAGACACACGCGCGCACGTACGCACACGCGCAAAGCGCGCTTACCACATGTGGCAAATCGGGAATAGAATGCTAGCGTATACTGACGCACGCATACGCTCGAGCTCAGGATTCGTGCGCCCAAATGAATGGTTGTGGATGTGTGTTTCTTCCCATGCACAGGGATAGTCACAACCGCAGACGTACCCCAGGTCAGCTTGCCCATGATCGATTCCTGTTCTCTCCCTCGTTCGGGCGGTTACGATAACTGTCAGCGCAGCTACTGGTGCCAGTGAGTTTATCCTTGAAAGTACGTGTGTATGTGCGTGCCTGTGTGTGTGTGAAGGTGTAAGCCTTAATTCTTCTATGGACATTCGTTTCTCCTTGTTTCAAGTCTTACCTACACCTGCCCAGTTCGTAATTTGCCTTTCCTACAGACGCACAGCTTCACATTTGGTGTTGCAAACGACTCTGTATGTATGTGTGTGTGTGTGTGTGTGTGATTGTGCGCACTGCCAGGTCCGGTTCGGATTGGGACATCAGACCACACACTACTCAGGATCGTACGACCACACATACAGAAGAGAGAGAGAGAGAGTGAAATCGTGAAAAGAGACACGTTTAAGCTCGAAAAAGTTCGGAACACACACGTCGTCATCGTTGTTGTTGTTGTTGTTGTTGTTGTTGCTGCTGCTGCTGATATTGTCCATGCACAAGTGCAGACAAACCGTTTATTANTTTATTAGGATGTCTCCATTCGATTGTAAGCTGATTGGCTTTTACACTCATACACACACACACACTTGTCGCTAACGGAACGAAAACTCGGCAGATTCATTTCCCGCATCAAATCTTTCGCACACACACGGGTATGCGATCTCTCTTCTGTCTTGTCATTCACAACCACGTGTGTGCTCTCTCGAATTATCATGAAGGCGCGTGCGCGCACACACACACACCCTGATGTCAGATTTTACAAACAGTGCGGAGAGGGGCAAATTAACTCGACTAACTCTGCTCGATGTTTGGTTTCGGAAGCATGGTAGAAATTTGGTAATGCATGATAAATTATTACTTCTGTAACAATTGAGTCCCGTAGAAAACGGTACAATGAAACACAAACACAATCGAATCCGTACTTTCTGACAATATGTGTAGCAGCAAAGTTGACAGATAATTACTAAAGACGACAGGTAGATCGCGACTGATATTTGCGTACGTTGGACTGTGAAACTTTTCGCAGTCAAGTTTTGCATGACATGCACACCCTGTTTACAGAATTGAGCGAAAATTTATCATTTGTGTATGTGTGGCTTCTAACGGATGAATGAGTTGTTGCCTTAATGGGCATAATAAAAGGACACGGAAATAATGAAACCTGGTTTTGTTAGAAAAAAAGTAGAATGTTGCACGTTGCCAGGCCCGGATCATATACCTATCAGTCCGAATTTTGTCTTCACTCAGTCGCCGATAANCCACAATGACCAGTCTAAGAGGTACGGAGATCATCACATCTCTACTCTCGTGTCAGTCCGGTATTTTGAACTGGAATTTTCTCACTAGCCTTGTCGTTACCATGACATGTTCACGCACTTTTTGACTGAGCTTTAACTACCCACAGAACTTGTGCTAATGCAGTCAGTACGCTTCACACTGATTGTGATATTCCGTGAAAACCAAGAGTAGTTTACGGCGAACGACTTCAACACTACGTGGAGGAAGGTGAACAGATCGAAGAATAATATCACGTGCATACATCGACTGGATGAAAATAAAAAGCTAATTATCAGCAACTTAATTGCAGTAACAGTAAGACATTATTACGAAGGGTTCCGCTTGTGTTTTTCAGAATGAACAGACCCACATACAGGGTTTCACGCTTGCCTTTATTTTTCCGCTTCCTGAGTGGGTCGTTTTTATTCGCCTGAGGTATGTAAGTACACTAGTAGACGTGATTCCGGGAGATACAGAAACTCTAGTGGTGCCCACGGTCGAACCATCGGAACAATTGAGACAGCATTGAGCCAACACGGACCGCATAATCCGCTGTGCTCGCACTTGTTCTCTAATAGGATCCTGACAAACATAGGCTGTGAATTGGGTTCCGTGATCGATCACTCGGCGTGGGGGGGGGGGGGGGGGGGNAGCTGCAAGGAATGTAACATATGTTCATCTAGCACGAGCACGATGCCTTGCTGTCCACCTCGAATCCTCAACATGATCTGTAGGCTAGGCCTATGCTCAGCAAGTGCACTTGCATCTCAAGTTTGCCAACAGGAGTATCACAACCATTATGAATCGGTCGGTGATCAGACAACCTACGGTCAGGTTGAGGGTGACAGGTTGCGTAAATCACGGACAGTTATTAAATCAGGACAAAAACCGGATTGCCTAGGAAGTGAGTTATATGAGGACAATGATGAAGGTGAAAAGATAACATGAAACAAACGAGCAATTCCATACTGTATATGTTTTATATATATACTTGATGCAAATAGCACAGGAGAAAATTAACTCATGGAAATACTGTGTTTGCTCACTGTGCAATAGCGAGTAAGTCCCCAGCGGTTATTTTATTCGTCACATATCACGGTTGAGTTATCAACAAGGTCTAAAATTATTCAGTACACATGGTGTTAGTGATTGTGATTGTGGCGGTCGATTTGCTCTGCACAGCACCATACACGTGTAACACCAGCAAGAAATAACAGCACTGCCGCAGCTATTTTGTGCTACACATGCGTGCGCACGCACTCCGACTCGCACGCAGTCATACACAAGGGTGCAGGTGACGTGCTGGACGTGGAGACGACCCGGGGGGGAGGGGGTTTCAGGTAGCATTTGAAGCGGGACAATGGTCTAACACTATCGCTGGCCCGACACAGACAAATACCGTGCGCTTGCATGCATGCATGAGTGAAAGAGATCAACCGCATAGACACGCCGTATTGCCATATTATATATCGTACACACAGAGTGAGAAAGAGAGAGAGAGTTAGCTACAAAAACCATCAACCCTATTACTGGTTTCACCGCGTCCAACCTCGTGGTGATTGAGAAATAAATCACTCATAATCAATAAGATGACCTCTGATCTACAAACTGGACAAAGTGTCAGTGATTATGAGTAGCACAGGTTTGTCCGTCGATGTTCATGTATGTGTGTGTGTGATATGTCTGTGAAGGTGCGTGCACAATTTAGCCAAACAAATTGATGCTCAGTGAGATCGTGTTGCAAGCACCTAACCGGATACAGCAACAATCGATGTGCAATGGCTTCGGATGTCCAGTATGGCGTAATATGAACAACTCTGTGTATTTATGTTTGTGTGTGTATATGCATGCGTGCGTGCGTGTGCTTGTGGGATAAGTACCTGGTATGTGGAAATCGATTCAAACAACAATTTGATCAGACAACTTTGTCAAATATAAAGCACCATTTCGTGATCACTGTTTCAATAAAAACAGCGACAAAAACAACAAAAGCAGCAGTAGCATATCTAAAATATGAACAGTTCTGTTGTGTTTCAATAGTTCCATCATAAGAAAATCAAAATATTAAAACAGTGTAAGAATGTGATAATTTACTCGACGTATGCATGTGAATAATAACGTGACTCAATGTGCAATTAAGGTTAGGAAAAGGTGTGTAAAGTATGACTTGGATGGAATCATCATAATGCAATACGTGGTGTGCTCCAGTTTCAGTCTTTGTGTGTATGTGTGTGCGTGTGTGTAGGGGAGAGATCAAAGATGGTCAAAGACTGGACACAGGTTTTGTTTCTTTTTCCCACACAAGTGTTACATGAGGTGTGTTTAGGAAATTTTGTTTTTGTTTTGGGAAATTCTCTGGATAATGCATATATACTCCCGAAACGATCCTGGATAGACACGTGTCATGATCGGTTTGTTATCACCATGGCCCTCCATATCAACATCATCATCGTCTATTTAGGTATGTGACTGTAAGAGGTGAGTGAAAACAGAAATAGTAGTTGATCCCAGATTGTATGTGAAAAGTATAGGATCTTTTTTGCTGTTGTTGACGACCATTACGGTATTTTTCGTAATAGAGGTAGTAGTAGTAGTAGTAGTAGTAGTAGTAGTAGTAGTAGTAGTAGTAGTATCGATGAAAATGACAACCGTGTAAATGATATTGATATTGTTAATCTCGTTGGGGATGGAGAATTTATTTCGAAAAAGATTCAAGTGTCCGTTACGATAGACGGCTTCCCGACTACCGACGAGAGTAAATTAAGCTAACAAGATTTCACTTTCACAGTTCACCGGTTGTGTACGTGTGCGCACATTATAAGGGATATGGGTGGATTGAACTCCTGGGGGGAGGGGGGGTTGTGTTCGAGTTTTTGTTTCGTGCATGCGGGCATGATTTCTTCCAAGTTTGAAGGAGTGTAACAACGCCCATCACATGGTGTGTTTTCCTGTTTTTCTGAGTTGTTTGTGCGCGTATCTGACCACGAGTCTTGAATGAGAAAGGGTTGTACGAAGCGTAATTCTTGCC